TGCATTTCATTCGATTGTTTTGTTAGTATCTTTCGCACGCTAAGAATTACATTTCTCTCGATTGTTTCGTCAGTATCTCGCGCACACTTATGATTGAATTTCATGCAATTGTTTCGTTAGGATCTTCCGCACACTTACAATTACATTTCATTTTATTTTTCTTTAGGATCTCGCGCACACTTATGATTACGTTTATTTGACCGTATCTTTAGTATGTAGCGCACGCTAAGGGTTACATGTCATCCGATTGTTTCTTTGGTATCTAGCGCACGCTAAGGATCACATTTTATTCAGTTGTTTCTTACTGCATCTAGGCACTCTAACGATTACGTTCATTCGAATGTTTCTTTAGCATTTCGCGCACACTTAGGATTACATTTCGTTCGATTGTTTCGTTAGGACCTTGCGCACACGAAGGATTACATTTAATTCGATTGTTTCGTTGGGATCTCGCGCACACTTAGGATTACCTATCAGTCGATTATTTCGTTAGGATCTCGCGCTCACATATGATTACCATTTGTTCGATTTATTTCGTTAGTATCTTATGCACGCTTAAGATTACATTCCATTCGATTGTTTCGTTAGTATCTTGCGCACACTAAGGATTACATTTCTTTTTATTTTTTATTTATTGTATCACATATTTTAAGGTTTCTCTTTCATTGGACTGTTTCCTTGCTATCCTTGTACCCTTAGGATTTGTTAGATTTTTGTGCACTCACGGGATTACGTTTTATGCGATTGTTTCCCTAGTATCTTGCACATTCTTGGCATATTGTTTCAGTCCAGTATTTGGTCAGTATGGTCGATTATTTTGTTAGGATGTCGCGCGCACTCAGGATTCCCTGTCAGTTGAATATTTTGTTAGTTTCTCGCGCACTCATAGGATTTAGTATCTCGTGTATACTTAGGATTGTTTCTAAGCGTAAAGAATACTTCCGCATAGTCATAAGTTATATGTTTTTTCATATTTCCTTGAAGTATGACGCGCAATTACCTGTTCACATTTTTTTATCGTTTCCTCTCCAATTATTGTTCATTAGGTAAACTGTTGTTTCTTGGAAGAATGCAGCCATCGAGGAATTGTTAGTGATACCATCGTATCAGCGTAGAAAGGAAGGAGAAATTGGACTTTGGGATGGATCAGCCAGTCTTATGAAATCTGTGTAGAGATGAAGACAGAACTCCGAGTGAATCACAATGTGACGTGATGATACGCAATATGACATCAAAACGCATGCGTTTTAAACTGAGCCCCGAAGGACGAGAGTTCTTAGAAAGTTCTTATTATGTACTGAAACACCCCCTTAAAATTCGTTTCATTCAACTGTGGCACACAGTTTCACCCACCTGGCACCGGCTGTTCGAAGGGTGACTAACGCTATTGGAGAAATCTCTATCCGGTGGATGGCACAGTACGTTTTGTTAAAGCTTATCCACTGGATAGTGATTTATGCATTGGATAGCATCATTTCTCCTTTGATCAACTAGACTCTGAATAACAAGCGCTCTCATCTCCCTTGATTCTCTCTAAAGACATGTAAAAATTGCAATCTTTGCTCTAACTTGCTCTGCGGGAAGATGAAAAGGACGCAGTGAAGAAGTAATATTTGCTCGAAATCTCTTTTATCAGCTCAAGATATTAAACTTATTTCGGAAACATGCTGTATGGTTATTCATTCACGTAGGGAGTCGGTCTAATTCTTGAAATGGTTCCTTTGAAATGCAGCTGGATTAGCGCTGTAAGTGGCCTGCTTTACATCGTCACATAGTCACGCAAAGCACTCAGAGCTCTTGCGTGACGTGACCAAATAACGGCTACAAGGCAAGGTGGATGAATTGAAAGGGAAATTTTTATCGGAGTTGCATTATGATATTTTTAACCGTCTTGTGTGAAAGATGATTGCCTTGCGATAGAAGGAAACCTTTGACTACACGAAAAACATGGCTTTAAGGAGAATTCACACAACGAACGTTTTAAAGGAGCAAGGATAGCGACAAGGATGAGAAAGTTAAACACGACAATGCAGAAACAGAGTTTAAACATTGGATAATTTGTGAATGATTCGCAAAGCCGCGTAGCTCTTTCATTCTCAGTTTTCGGACGACTTTGACCCCCGGCAGTCAATGTTGAGCGAATCTTACCTCGACTACGATCACGTGCTCGTAACCATCAGTGAGAATGAAGTATTCCACGTTCAGCGAAGAAGCAAAGTATGTGTTCCAAAACTGACTTTGGTCAGGAGCCCATCAGTAATGGGCTCTTGTTTTGATATCATACTGTGATATCAATGAAATCAAGATTTTTGTACTGATACTATGGTTGCTGTTTTACTGAAAAACTCATCTGAGGTAGCGATGCAGATCCTTGAAACCATTCTCATCTTAAGTAATATGACCTGCTCTTTTTCTATATCTACTTCCAGGAAGCAGGAGATTCGCACTCCCCGCACTCTTCATAATTTCCATTAAGTAAGCGATAGCTTAAAGGATCATTTATCCCAGGGGGGTGGAGGTTAAAAACTATGCGCTGTTACACTCCCAGACCACACCCCCTAGAATGAATGGTTCAGGCTCAAAACAAGGTTTGTGTGTACAGTGATCGAAGGCGCAATCAAAGTTCCTGACAAGCACTACAATCATAAAATGCTTTTTTAATTATTTTCCTCAGATGTTCATCTTGTTCTCTTTTATCATTCTTTAAAATTTTATCCCATCAAGAAAATCATTTGAGCCCGCTGACATACTCAAGTAGCCTCTCTGTTTTCTTCACACCCAGCTGTGAAAAATGTTTTTTTTTTCTCCCATAAAATATTGCAGATGAGCCTGTAGCGATGTGTGATCGACGCCTACTTGGCAATCTTGTGTTCCCAATTTCGATTTTCCGTGCAATGAAAGTAAATAACTTTAAAATCAAATAAATAGATATTGTCCTTTCATCTGTTTCACTTTTCTTTATTTATAATTTTTTTTGCGTACAGAAAGATAATTACGAAGGCTTACCTTAGATATGAAAAAAAATTTTACAGTGCTTTGTTCTCCTTCTCTTATCCACTAGAAATCGCAGTTTTTCTCTAATTCTTTAATGCTTCGGGACCAGGCATTATTTGTCGCTCGGGAGGGGGGAGGAGACGTAGGGAATCACAAGATTTCAGGGGTACGGGAGGGGGATCAGTTGTGGCCAACAGAATGCAAAAGTCGGACTTAATATTTCCCATCTTGACAGTAGACAGAAGGCCAGCACAGCAGCAACTGTTTTGAACTGAGCCTTAAATTTACCCAATTCTTCCGAAGGCAAAAAGTGAGAACATAATAGAGTTTGTACAGCTCTGGAATCCAAAGTTATCCTTCTAAGTTCATTAAAAACATACAGATTAATGACCCGATCCTCGACAAACATATCCCCAGGAGAACTTGTTGAAATGTTTTTCAAGATGGTTGAACCACCCGACTCACCCAAGTCTTTCGCTTTTCTTCGTTACCTCAAAGGCATGCCCGAACCTTTAACACGCGCTCTCTCTAAACAAACCATTGTCCACCCCACAACGACGGTTCCCGGCCTCGAAGTTTCGACCTTCGCTAGATTCTCAGACAAACGTCGTACAAAAAATTCCTTGTACCAAATATTCGTGGTGCTACATTGGAGAAACGGCAGAGCTTTCCAAACTAGAAAAAAAGGACATTTCTGAAATGTCACAATAGCGACCAAAGGCTGAACTTCTCCGGAATTCCGAAAAACCTGACGTGTTTCCTCGTAGCATCTGGAATTTCCCGCGTTTTCGCGCATTGTTGTTCGTGAAACGTGGGCGTTTCATCGTTGTGGAGGAGAGCTGGGCATAGGACTGAGAACTCCAACATGGCGGGACATTGCGAAAGATATTGTGAGAACTGCAAGGAAATGACAGCTTACTTTGGCAAATGGCCCGGAATTAGAGGACTACTCAGCTTCTCAGCAACTTTCCTTTGCTTAATGATCTTTAGATATAAGAAGGAAGGAAGAGAGGCCGAAAAACATAGAGATGAAGACCACTCAGTTTCCCAATTGCATGCCAGATGTCAAATTGACAGCAATAGGTAGGTAAAGAAAACTTTAAAAAATTACACTTTTTAAAAATTTGCTTAATCTGTGTAATATATAATATTACTGGCATAGTAGGCTTAAAATGGGTGAATTATTCCGATATTTTTGAGAGGAGTATTGCTGCAAATTTGAATATTTAAATCTGGATACCTCTGGACACGTGGTGTTGTTTTTGTTGTTATAGGAGTTCTTTCAGGCGTGAATGTTAATGTAGTTTTTTTCGTGTGGGACAGGAACTCACTCAGTAGATCCTTCAGTGGATCCTTCGGGTTTAGCGTCACGCTATGTCCCTCCCCTGATGATCCCAATGAAAGGCTGTACTGTTCTTGATACAGCCTCAAATCAGCACATCTTACAAACCGGTAAAATATCGTGCGAACTTCCATCTCATCTCCAAATTTATGCTTATGTCTCAAATTACTGAAAAAGTGATAGCTTCACAATTGATTGAACACAGTTGCAATAACTTGTCTCAGGGTGATCTTCCCATCAGTATTTAAGAACTTTTATGGTCCGGAGACTGCTTTAGTTAGAGAATGTAATTATGTCATCATAGATATCGATAGGAATAAGACAGTTATTGTAAACACAGCACCCAAGTTTGGCAACTCAAAGTTTGGGAAAGAGGTTTTTGAAAGAAATCAAAAGAAAGCTTGAGAGCAGTCTTGAGAAAGTTGCTGTATATTGGTTGCTTTATCAAAGTTACACCCACGGAAACTCACCAATATTGAAAACAGAGAATACTTTAGTCCCTAGCTATAACTTTACCTGTGATGGTATGGACATCGTATCTACCAATTTGACTCATACTTGATCTTATGCTGGTATTGTTTAAAGAGTTACTTTTCATTTAAATGAGTGTCACTCATTTCTCTTTGCTTTGCTTGAACAGTGCATTAGAAAAAAACTCCACTGTTTGTGTTGTTACTAAACAGTTTAGGGCTCTACACATGCCTGATTTTTAAGCACTTACACTGGCTCCCTGTAGAGCAGCAAATTATTATCAAAGTTCATTGCTTACACACAAGGGATTGAATTATCTGGCACTTGCATATATCAGTCATCTATTGGTTCCTCTAATGCCCTCTATAAGTATCTTTTAGAATTTTAAAAGACCAAGTTGAAAACCTAGGGTAACAGGGCTTTCTTAGTTGCTACACCAAGGCTAAGGAATAATTTACCTTAAGAAATTTTAACAAGGCCATCAGTCAGTGTCTTCAAATCACTTTTACAGTAAATTGTGCGAGTGTAAAGACTCATCTCTTAAGCACTATGTATGGAAAGTTTTACATTATCAGCTATTTTGTAAAAAGGGATACAGATACAAGTATATGAAATTGATTATATGAGTGGTGGTTAATTAAAGGATTGATCAATCACATGATAAATTATAATGATTCTCATCAGCTGATTTTCCTTTTGAAAAACCCACTTTCTTGTGAGGTGTCTTAGCTGGAGTGGCTTTGCATTCGATACAGTGTGGTAAATTTGGTGCAGAGAATGTTTATTGCTGAGGAGATTTTGTTATAGGAATGAGGGTGGACATGTTTTAAAAATTTTGAATTCCATTACCAGGTATCATGCCATCATATCAAATTGGGTAAACATACATAGCAACATAATTTCCATGGTAAAATGTCAAACTTTGCAGTAGCAAACAAGGGGATTGTGTGCATATATTGGTAGAGTCACAAAAGATGAATCAGCAAAATACTCAATGTAGAGTAAGAAGCATGTGATTGTAGATAAGGTGTCATGAGGGGTCTATAGATATTGTGAAGATCGTGTCGTACATTTTGAGGTGATCTTTTGATTAAGGTTATAATTTTACTAGTTTAAAAGGTAACATGAATTAGATGATTCTTGTAAGATATTTTAATCTTAATTATATTTCCAAGCTAATGGAAGTTTCCATGCAGTCAGGGTAAGATTCATCTTTTGTTTGCAATCAAAAATAGTGATTTTTAGTTGATAATTAACTTTTCATTAAGCAAGGCAAGAGTGGGTGTCATTGAAATTTGTATTTTGCTGGTTTTATTTCTGAAGATGGAGGCAATACTTTGCAAAAAACTTAGTGTTAGTTTAGTTTCTTAACAATTTGGCAAGAATATTGGTTGTTTCCACTCATTTTAGAGACTATTGTAAAATTATTTTTCTTTGTCACTTATTTTGGGAAGGTGGCATTTTCTTTGTTCAGGCTCTGCAAAGTTTTATTGAAGAATACCTTAGACTGATAGCACTCTTGTAAAATTGTGACAGGGTAAGTCTTGGTGGACTTGGATTTGGCAATTTTAATTACTGGATACTTCACTAGGGTAATAAGTTTTTCTTTTTTAGAAACAATTTTTCTAAGTACACAGTTATACTGTACACTGTAGTTCACAGTAGAAGATGGCAAAAATCCAGATAGAAAGGGTAGCAATGAAATGGCTACTCTGAACAATCCAAACTTTGGTTTTACTGCATTTATTACTCTTAAAGCAACAAATTCTTTAGGGGGTTTAAGGACTTTAATGATTTTGCCAGTGCTATTTCTGTCTTTTGCACACAGCTTGTTTGATTGATGCAATACTCAGATAAGGTAGTAGGATTTAGTTTGAAATCTAGAAGCCAAAAAAAGTCAAACCATAGTGAATTACTAATCAGTTATTTGATGGTTTAACATATAATACAAGCAGACATTTTGCTCACTGGTAAAACAAATCAGAGCCTTTTATGTGTTAAACAAGGGAATGAGGTTTATTTGTTTGAGCTTTCATATCCTTAATTTTCCTTGCTTGTTATGGATGGACATGTCTACTCAAATAACAACACACAGCAAGTATTCATTAAATAAATTGTGGACTGTTTCCTGTTAGGATCTGTATTTCCCATTGCACTTTGATGCAAAGCTCTAACCAAAGTGTTGGATCGGATCTGAGCCGTTATACAGCTGGATGGGGAAGTGTCCCAGATGATCATTACCCAGAAAATATGGTTTCACAAAAAAATATTTCTGTCTACCAGGTAGTGATTTGTCTGCTGGATAGCATTGTCCAATTTTCAAACAAACGGGGTCAGTGCAATATGATTATTATGAAATACTGGGCAATCAGTACAAGCAGTTGGCTAACCAACTGGACTCTAAATGAAAAGGGATGGCTTAAAGACCTAGCTGGAGTTAATGTGTTATGTTCAAAGATCTTATTTTGGAAAAGTAGTTAAGTAATACTCTCAGTCTCTTCAGATAGTTGTCATGGTAAAGCTTTTGGATAAACTTTGGCTGCATGGGCTACTTACAGTGTACCGAGAGAGATAAATAATGTCAAAATAAGCTACCATGATACTGATAGAATGCAATTTGTTTTGATTAAAGAGTGTTACATGTAGTAATTCAATAATGTGTCTTTATTTAAGGTTCACCATAAAAGCATGAGCCAAACATCTTGAGCCAAAAAATGACAGTGAAAAGTATTGACAGATTGATGATGACTGACAACAACAATGCAAATGAAAGGTGACTTAATTTTTAGTTTCATGGTAGTCTATCAAATTTTAAACATATGAATGTGGGTACAGTTGGCTCTAGGTTCCTTCACAATATGATAACTTACTGACTGAAGGATTGACTGGCTGACTAGCAGGCTGGTTGTATGGCTAACTGACAGAGAGGCTGATTGACTGACTAACCGACTGACTGACCAGCCAACTTGCTGGCTGCATCATTAGTTTACTGACTGGCTTGCAGGCTGACTGGCTTAGTGGTTGACTGACAGAGGGACTGACTGGCTAACTAACCAACTGACTGACCAGCCGACTGGCCGGCTGTCTTGTTAGTTTACTGACAGGCTTGTAGGCTGAGTGACCGGCTGGCTGGGTGGTTAACTGATGGAGGGACTGACTGACTGAATAACTTACTTACTGACTGACTGGTTTATTCTTGGGGTGTGGGATAAGGAGGGCACTGAAAAAGAAGACAGGTTAGCTGCCTTTCTTTTAACGGCAATATCTTTTGCCAACTTGATGCATAGATTTTGCATACTTGAATCCTGGCCATAAGAATCGAGTATCTAAGCAGTTTTTGTGTTCCTATTCGCTCTTAAGAGCAGACCGTGTCATAAAGCCTGTAGCTGTGTGGTAAAGAAGCGTTGCAACCAATAACATTTAAGGCTTTCCATTACTTGCTTGGCTAATTAAAAATTCTATCTTGGTGACGTAATGCCTGAATAATTTTGTATTGTTCACGATATAGTATTACCGTTTTTTGGGCCAGAATAATCAGGTAGAATTTTCAGTTAGAATGGAATTCTTTCCTCTTTAGAGGGGTGGTGAGGAAATTGGCCAGGGGAGTGACATAGATTTTACTCTGCAGTGACATGGAGTTTACTTTGGCTCTACTTTATTTTCTAGTTTAAGTTCTTTCCATGTAGCTGTATAGTACGTAATAATTTACATACAGTATCAATCTGGCAGACGTTTTCACTCGCAGGTAAGTTTTGTAGAAACTGTCTTTTTCAGGTAGGCAGTGGTTTCTATGAAGAGTAGTTTATGATGTCAACGGGGATGGAAGGTTACAAGATGATGTGTTGATATACTGATTACAGGTTAGAAAGTTCTACATCTTACTCAGTCCATGGTTTTATTCCACAGAAGCCAATTAGGACTTTCCATGTGACAGTGAGATGCTGTACACTTACTTTTGATGGTATAACATTTTCACTACATGAAATTGCTTGGATAAGTAGTCTTTTGGTCAGATCTCAATAATAAAAAAACCATATTAGGACTTGAACAGCTTGAAAAGTTGATCCTATCGCTAAAGGCAAACTAAAATTGAACTACATAAAGGTCCAAAATAACTGCAAGGTTTGGCTTTAGTGCCGGAACGTCTTGAAATTTTAGCATCTGCAGTTTTTGCTTCTTTTTCCTGCCTGTCAAATCAGAGAGTACACATTGATTTCCACTGTTGTTATTTCCTCAACATGTAATTGAAGTAACTAAAAAGTCAACCACTGTCTATTTTAGTGTTGAACAAAATTAATAAAATGAAATTGAGTTAGTCAAATTCAAGTCATACAATTCCACAGGTGTTTCTTCATGGCCTAAAATTTCGCCAAAATATGTTTTCGTGTTATCAATAATTACTGAAAATTTGCTTTACAGCATAGAGAATTGTGTAGCCATTTCAAAAAGCCATGTGCAAAACGCAAATTGTAATATGCAAAGTCCATGCCAAAAGCAGAATTCACGCTACCTGAGGGATTTTACAGCTCTTCACTTACAGTTTCGCCCTTCTCTCTTTCTTTCCATCATTGCTTACTTATTTCATAAAAGAGATGCATTCTCCATTCTAATAAATTTATACTTTGTGAATTTCTAAAACTCAAAGACTTGAACAGTACACTGAACCTGGTTTCGTATTAAATGATGTTTATTTTCTGCCCGTTCACATAGAAGTACAGGTTACATTTGTAATGTTAAACTTTCTACAGATTTCTGAATGAAGAAAATAATAAAGATTGGACCTAAGAAAGGATCAATTAGGAAAAGCCATTTTGAAGACTGGCATTTCGTGTTCCTCAGGTGATTAAATATATTTGTCATGCAGTTCACTTCAGATTGCTAGAGAGGAAAAAAAAGACCGTAAAAAGTATTTTTAGTCTCTCTTGAAAAAATTAAACGTTTATTCTGATAGCTTCAACGTTATTGGTTTTATTCAATTTATTTTAAATAAAAAAAGACCATGGAAGGGAAGGCAAAAAATTGGGGTAAACGTTGAAATGACTCAAATTCTTGGCCTTGATTTCATTTCTCTGTTTTGCAGATTTGTTCAACCACCCAAAGCTGGATACCAAGAAACACGATCACCTTAAACATAAAACTAGAGACAAATATCAATCTTAGAAAGAAAGCAAGATTGGATCGACCCCCAATTCAGAGAATAAAATGACAAATTGGGGTTCGATCCATCCACCATCCCCTGCCTCTATTTGATGGTCCTTAAAAATTATCAACACACCCGCCTCTTTTAATACAGTTAATTAGTATTACAGTACAGTATTACAGTACAATATTTAATTTATAGTACAGTAGTTATATTACCATTATTTTTCCAACAATTTTATAATACAGTAATATTACGACAATTTGAGACAGTTGTTTTTCTCCATCCGACCTCCCCCACCACGCCCACCTCTTGAAAACAGTTTTCTTAACTCTGTACAAGCTGTCTACCTTGTGGTAGTAAAATTTATTTTTAAACGTATGCGTTATGTGCAACTAAATGTCTGTCTCCGACACATGCGTATTACACGATGGTGTTATCACAAGGTAGACAGCTTTTGCAAATACTTTATTTTTAAAGGATTGAAAACATGTTCTCACCAAACGTCTGCTGTAATACAGATGCGTTATTAAAAGATGTAGGTACCACAATGCAGACAACTCTCACAAATTGTTTAGAAAACTGGCTAATGTACATGATATTTGTCCTTGGTTTCGTTATTGAGGTGGTCTAATCTATGTAGAAACGAAAGACGAAAATTCATTGACAGCACTTGTTATGGTACACATAGCCACACTTGCTGACAAGTCCTCCCATCAGAGAACATGTCAAGTTCGGAAAAAAAAGCATGTATTTAGACAGACGTTTGGCGTTGCGTTTGACGTGAATGTTACTAACACAAGGTAAAATACTTTCATGAAGACTTAACAAAACTGTTTAAAAGCTATAGAAATGGGTGTGAAGAAGAATGGCCGACAGCAAGAGACCACTAACATTCTTGCTTTCTTTCCAAAGTTGATATTTTTCCATGAACATTGCAGGAGTTTTCGTCATAGTGTACAACATGGCTTCGCTCAGCAGAATAAGAAGTATTCTCGCGTCCTCGAATTTCTTTTTTACACAATGGTGACTGAAAGAGGAAAGGCAAGCGGTTATTATTTACTTACAAAAAGGCAATTTTGATAATTTACAATTCACAGACGATTTATGGACCATTGTAAAATAATGACGGAGGCTTCCGTTCGACTATACTACAAAAATTGTAATAGCCACAATCAAAGTTCACATTTTATCTTAAACTTATCTTTTCTGCATCAAACAGACAAAAAAAGCGTAATGATTGCAATTTCAGTAAGACCTCTACTTCTGGTTGGAAATTTTTATTTTTTCTCATCCTAGGCGACACAAAAGAAACTAATTGTTGGACCCGCAAGAAATTAAACACTAACTCATCAATTAAACAGAAAAAATCATTTTGGCCTTACTTGAGGTATTTAGGAGAAAATGTTCAGGAGGAAGAAGTAAATGAGGCGATCTATATTTGAACAGATGCAATCTATTAATGGAATTGGTTGGGGAAAAAAAGACTCCGAGGGGAGGCCCATAGTAGTAATTTGTAAGAGGACTGGAATCGAGTTTCATGTCAGAACAATGAGGTGGCCTATCTCTCCTAGGAACAAGATCCTAATAAGTAGATTTCACGCTTCCTTGACTTCTGTAAACGACGTTTATCTCCCTGGACGCAAACTGAAAATTTCCTAACTTTTCCTTGACTTGAGAATTTTTTTCCTTGAACTTTCCTTTTCAAGTGGATTGCTTTGTAGGTTTGAAAAAGAAAGGATCTGCTCAAGAAAACTTAACTGCCTATTAAATCAATTATTGAGTTTTAGAAGAAATAAAATGAGATTTCGATCCCGTGTAGAGTACCTTGAAGACAGTAAGAAGGTCAAACGTGCATGGAGAACCTGCAATTTACGCTTCCTATGAGTTTTCTAGCGCGGATTTTAAGTGATACTTAGCCCTTTTAATTAGTGTTTGAGAGTGGATTGAGACTGAATCAAATCATCGCGGAGAGATAAGACGTACACTAAGTAAGCTTATCATATCTCTCGGTCAATACGTGTGCTATGATTGGTCAATTTGCGGCCGTAGTTCGCTGTACGGCCCACTAAATTAAAAAGTTTGTTTGAAAGCGTTTTCTCGGTATGTCTCTATGTCTCGTTTTTTCTGCTCGGATTTATGACGCGCGAGAAATAAATCTGAGCGGGTAAAAAATTGGTCCGTAACTTACGATACTGAACTCGAACTCGATAAGTAAGAGGTATTTGTGTTGTAAATGAAGGGTCAACTCCGCGAAAATGAACCCTTGCCGTAAATGTTCAAACAAGGTTGTCGTCTATTAATTGTGCTTCACAGTTTCTTTTTTTCTTAAGAAAAATTCTTCCATTTATCTGAAAAAAGTCTTTTTCACCTCGTATTAATTCTATTTTGTGTTTGAATAAAAATTTTTCATTGTGATCAGGCTCATTGGTGAGAGCTGTATTATTTTGCGTCAATGTATGATTTTCCTTTTTTCCTCTCTCTTTCTCTTTGTTCTGATCTTTAACTCTTCTGTCAGCTAGGTGGGTAATATAAGCTTACATTCTTCTAGAAAAGTGACCTCAAGTTATATTCCATTATGACGAAATAAGTTGCTAAAGCCCTTCTTGCTCCGAAAAAGCTCAATAATTTTAATTTTCATCAGTTGGCTGTGGGTAAGATGTTTTGCTCTGCTGTATGATAGTTGTGGATTGACGTATCCAGTAAGATATCGGTAGAAGAGCTGCGCGTGAGCCGTAAACTGAACTCGTAATGCTAGGACAGCACTTTAAGAAAATGCGATTGTTTTTACATCCACCCTCACGAGAAAATAAATTCTGACAGACTGAACCCAGGCTGTAAGAAGCCCAGCTCTGCGACATTAAATACCTAAAAAGGATGCTTCTATGTTGTGTGCTTCTGCCTCAATTGATTACGTGCAGCTTCTTAATGATAACAAACCACTTGCCTTAGACACCTCATGGAGCCGATCACAAGCCACTGAAATCTAAGACGCACATACATTTTCCCCCACTTCCTTGAATCCTGTGTAAAAATGAAGAATAAAAATATCATTTAAATTTTTTTCTTTCTATTTATTTTTAAGTTTAAATGAATGAAATATTAACAAAAATGAGTTGCCTTTTAATCTTTTCTTTGATTTTTTTTTTGAGCAATACCGACTCCTTAGTGGGTCAACCCTTAATCACCCATCTCTTGTACAAAGTCCAACACTCCATCAGCGCATAAAGACAGTCCAGTGTCCGAAACAGTTTTATTCTCTTTTTTGGGGACCAAGTCTTAGCATCACAGATCAAGACTAAGGAAGAGATATTTTGGGTGACACCAACCCCTTAAGGGGCCAGCTTTAAGTCTCCCATCTCTTGTACAAAGTCCAACACCTGATCAGCGCATAAAGACAGTCCAGTGTCCGAAACAGTTTTATTTTCTTTTTTTG